CTGCACCTAATTCCCCCTCGGAGTGCAGGGCCTTCCTTGGGCTGCCCCGTGGCCAGCTTTTCCTCAGGGGGAGGGAAGCCACAGCTGGATGTCACTCTTCTTCCCACTGTTATCCTTCAGCTCCCTGGGAAGACCTCGTCAACAGGCCACACTTCATCCCTGACCGTGGGGGGTGGGAGGCACAGACCCTCGAGATGCAATGTGGAGGGCGTGGGAAAGGCCTTCACACAACCATCCAAGGCAAGGGCAGAAACTTTCAATTTCTCAAAAAACAAAATAAAACAAAACAAAAAGACGCCCAACTTACCAGCTCAGTTTGCCCATCTGTGAAATGAATCCAGGTGAGACAAATGCCGACGTTCCTCCCAGCTCTGCAGCCCCACCAAAAACTGAAAGAAAAATCTGCACACAGCGAGGGAAAACAAACGTACTCCCTCCCCCAACGGCAGAGGTGCTGGCTGGCCACTCGCATTCTCTGGATAGTTGGGTTTCCTAAATTGAGCCACCACCCCACGAGCGTGCGCCCTGCATACTTTCAGGCAGTCTCCACTCCAGGCTCTGGAAACACTGCCCTGAGTCTGCATTTGCGAGCCCAGAACAGTCGGAGTCCCCAGGCATCTCCGTCTGGCATTTACAGCTTGGAGAGCCACAGCTGTCTCTTCTCCAGCCAGCGGGATGGGAGGGACAGGGCACACCTGCCTCTGTACCTCAGCTCTGCCAGGTGGCGCAGAGCATGTCGGCCCTCTCTTTACAAACGAGAAGGTGGGCAAACCACCCTCCCGCAGAGTGCTGTGCAGAGTGTGGGGCGGGATGCCCACCCAGGCCCTGCCATTCCGCCCTCGCCAGCCCCAGGACCTGTGTGACCTTTTGGCCTTTGTGCTTAGCACCTGCCCAGGGTCTAGGCTCTGGGGTCTCAGCTTTTAGCAGGTCTCTTCTCCTGGCCCTGCACTTCTCTCTCCCTTTGATCCCTTCTGATTGTTAACTGTCAACCTGGCTATAAAAGGCAATTCTGATCTGAGAAGACTGGGTGGCCCACTGCCTGGGGCCCACATCAGCCTCTGCGCCGCAGCCGCAGCCGAGGTGTCTGGGATTGATTTAGATTCTCAGCATGCCGTTGGAGGCGGCACATGCTGCTACGATTACATCGGAGCCTGTGCTCAGATGCTCCGGGGCCCCGCCCTCGGCGCCCCTGCTGCTCGCAGACCCATTGCACCAGCTGTGCCTTCACCGACTCTGCTGACTTGGAAGGGCTGGTGTAACGTGGGGCTGACACACAGACTGTGCTTTTCTGCTGGCAGCTCCTGCCAGGGGCCCAGGAGGGAGGCTGTGGCTTTGCGAGAGTGTCAGGGGCGGGTAGAGGGAAGCCGGAGCCTGCAGAAGGTTCAGCCTCCATCAGAAGCACATCTCGGGCCTAGCGGGCTTCCTTCCTGGCCACACCTCCGGAACACTCCTTGAGGGAGTGTAAAGGGCCGTCCAGGATACCATTGCCTTTTCTCTTCCTTGACAGAGTCTTGCACTGGGGAGGTGACATCAGTTCCCTTCCTGCAGATGTCTCTTTTCCTGCCGCTCAGCAGCGGGGACACAGGCGGCAGAGCAAGGGCGACAGACACGTCTACTGCCTGGATGCTGCACGTACACACGTGTTTCTGCCAGTCAGTGGGAGCTGTAGCTGGACACCATTGTGTCGCTCCAACAACAGGGCCTGGGCCAGCAGGGCAGCCCGGTGCTGGTCGCACTGAGTTGAGGTCGTCTGGGGTGACTTATTTATGTCCCAGGTGTACCCCGGACCACCTGGACAGAATGGAGCAGGCGGGAGGAGCCACCCCTGCTGCAGCACTCCGCGGGCGTGGGCAGTGCGCACACCTCCTGTGAGCTCATCTCTCTTCCGTAAAAGGAAGAGGAGAAGTCTGCGTGCAGTTCCCCCTGCTCGCGTCCTGACGCTGAGCCGCTGTTGGCGTCATCCACACCCCCCCCCCTTGCCTCGCCAGCTTGGTGGCGCTTTCCAGCAGTCCCGGGAATGTGGGACCGCGGCAGATGAGCACAGGAGCTCGGAGGAGAGTCCATCTGTTCCCTGTTAAGCCAGACATGAAGAAGGTTTGCAAAAATGCAAAACAACTCCCCTCATCTCCCTAAAACAATTTTTTTTTTGGTTAAACTGTTACTTTTTATTTCAAAATGTAGTCCTGCTAAAATTTTAGAAATAGGTAGCTTTTTAAAGAGATTTTATTTATTTATTTTTAGGGAGAGGGGAGGGAAGGAGAAAGAGGGAGAGAAACATTGATGTGTGAGAGATACGTCAATCAGTTGCTCTCACATGTCCCCCAACTGGGCGCCTGGCCTGCAACCCAAGCGTGTGCCTTGACTGGGAACTGAACTGGTGACCTTCTGGATCACAGGCAAGTGCTCAGTCCACTGAGCCACACCAGCCAGGGCAGAAATAGGTGATTTTTTAACGCATGCTGTCTGGGGTCCTCAGTCTTTTTTTTTTAAAGTAGGCTATTTCCTAGAGCAGTTTTAGGTTCACAGCAAAACCGAATGGAAGGTACAGGGAGCTCCCATACGCCCCTTGCACTCCCTCCCACACGGCCTCCCCCATAATTCCTTCTCATGATAGTTGTGTACCTATTTTTATGTAGCAGGTTTATTCAGATACTGCCCAGGTTACACATTTGCAGTATACAACTCAGTGGTTGCTGGTATATTCAGGGCTGTGCAACTAGCACCACAGCTCAACTTGGGAACGTCATCGTCCCCGCCAGGAGAGAAGCTCCGTGTCTGTCAGCGGTCGCTGTCCATTCCCACCTCTCCCAGCCCCTGGCAACCAAGAGTCAACTTTCTGTCTCTAAGTGTTTGCCTGTTCTGGACAGTTCTCCTAAACGGCCTTTTGTGTCTGGCTTCTCTCACTGAGCACCATGTGTTCAAGGTCCCTCCATGTTGTAGCGAGTGTCAGTGTGTCCCTCCTTTTCATGGCTGAGTAATATTCCAGGGTGTGGATGAACCAACTGTCTGTTCATCTGTTGATGGACACTTGGGTTGTTGACGTTCTGGCTGTTGTACATAGTGCTGCTGTGGGCACAGGTTTCTGTGTGCACATAGGTTTTCATTTCTCTTGGGGAGACACCTGGAAGTGGAACTTCTGGGCCACGTGGAAACTCCACGTTGAACCTTTTGAGGAACCGTCGCACAGTTTCTAGTCGACTGCTGTGCGTGAGGGCTCCACGTCCTCCCCACCTCCCCAACACCGTTACTGTCTGTCTCTGTTCCAGCCGTCCCGGCGGGTGTGAAGCCGCATCTCCTTGTGGTTTGATTTGCATTTCCCTGGTAACTAATGAGGTTGAGCATCTTTTTATGTGATTATTGGCCATTCGTGTATCTTCTCCAGAGACTGAGGAAAAGGAGGCAGCGTATGCACTACTTACTGCTTCACCACGTCCGCTCTTCTGCACTCTGCGTGTGTTTGTCCTTTCATCCGTCCACGCCTGGCCTCTCCGGTAGCAAGTGCCATGTGGGGTGTTGATGGCACAGCCCTGCAGGGCATCCTAAGGGTCCAAGGAGCCGGCTGGCCTGCCTGGGGCTGTGCGGCCAGGGGGCAGGAGCAGCAGACAGGCCTTTCAGTGGAGGGCATTCCTGGAACTGGATCAGCACAGGAGGCTGCTTGCTCGCTGGTCATGAGTTCCTCTAGACGAGAACTCTCATCTGGAGTGATCCTGCCCCCAGGGGACACTGGGCCATATTTGGGCACACATCTGAAGTTATCATGACTGGGGATGTCCTGGCATTAAGTGGGTGGGGGCAGGGATGCTATTCAACCACCCCCCCGCCCCACTCTGTGCCCCAGACAGAAAGACCCATCTGGTCATGAATGTCAACAGTGCTGAGAGGAGAATTGTGTTCTAGAAAGTTCCTACACCCTGGGGTCTGAGATCTGCAGTGTGCCCCGGTGGCCATGCCTCCACTCTGTGCCACCGCCCCCCACCCTGGACTCCTTGCCGCTTAGAGTTTCAAGGCTCCTTCCTTTGTGACAGATGCCTTCCCACCAGGGCTTCTGCCTGTTGCCTCTGAATTTCGCTGTTGCAGATCAAACCCACATTCAGTCATCGCCTAACCTTAGAGAAATGCCCAAAGTTGGTGCCACTGGAGAGGCGGAGCACCTGCCGCAGGGGTGCGGCGGGGACGCAGCGTGATCCAGCACCTGCGTTCTGCACCCTGGAAGCTGGCAGGGCAGCGCTCGCTTCCCTGGAGACCGTGGACATGCCCTCAGATCCCGCCTGGTCTGTTTGGACTCACGGAGCCGCTGCTTACAGGAAGGGGTGCGCCACTGCAGTATTTGTTTTGGTGAAATTGAAACCTCAGATCTCAGCGGAGATGTTCCAGAAGACAGACCTTCCCCAAGTCAGTGAGGGAAACTGTGGAGCTGCCGGAGGTCAGCCCAGGACAGTGGGCCGGTGGGCGGGCCGTCTCACAAACCACCACGTGGTGTTCGTGCGCCAGAACGGCCCCTGGAAGCACGCGCCCGCTCCCCACCTGCACGGCCCTCAGGGCCCAGGTTCCCCCCCCCCGCAGCAGGGCCCTGTGCATTTGGTTTTCCCAGGCAGCGCGGGGCCCTGCTCCCCCAGCCAGGCCTGCCCCTTCTTTGCAGCCCTGTCCGTCACCAGTGCTCGTGGCACTCTGCAAACTCAACTTCCCATTTTTGGAAATGCTTCTCGAAACTACTTATTTCTAGCCAAAGCGAAATGACCTTTTCCTCCAGCTTCCAGTTTTTCCCTTTTACTAAAAAAGAAATTCATGCAGAAGTGATACTAGCTGAATACAAATCAGTGTTTTCTTAGCCGTGTGTTTTCTTTGTCACGGTCACCCCCACAGGACCCTTTTTAAGGCTTTGTCTTCTAATCGCTCATCAAACAGAAGAATGCCAGCCACGGATGGAGGCACTTCATATCTTGAAACGTTATGAGTTCATAGCGATACTTTAAAAAAATCTCAACTGTTCACCTCTGCAGGTGGCTCGTTACTGGAAAAAACTGAACTTCTGGTAATCAAGGAGTTGGTAAGAACAAATTCTCCTCGCGGGACCCCTGTGAAATGTTAATAGCACAGGTGAGGCATCTGCTTATGTTCTGTCTACACACACAGCTGGGCTTTATGCCTACAAAGAGTAAGTTTTTTCCGCTTCCTCGAAAATTGATCCCTGCCCCCATCCCCTGTGGAGAACATATTTATAAATAAATCTAATAATCCAGGCACCTGGAGAAAGGGGTCTCTGGCAGGCCCATTCCCCAGAACGTACCACCCCCACCCTTGTGGGCGTGGTGGGTGTTCATGGTCTTTGGTGCGTGGACAAGAGGTGGATGGGTTTTAATTCTGAGTCTTGGGCCAGCTCCTTTGTGTTCCCTTGTTTCTGCGCCCTGGATCGTACAAAGGAAGGGCAGACGTTGCATTTGTACAGTGGAATAATAACCGTCCATTGCACAGGGCTGTTGGGAGCATGAACTTGTGCGTTGAGGGAAAGGGCCAACAGAGAGCCTGGTGAGAGGAGGTGCCGAGCAAGTGCCACTTTTGCTCTTGTCATCGTCACCACTCCCATGTCACCTCTGAAATCTGCTTTCTAGAGTTCCCCACGCACATGCACCCGTACCTGTGCGGACGCAGGTGTGGGGGGACACTGCACACGTGGCAGCCTGGTCACCTGAGCTTCAGCGAGGACGACCCTGATGGGTTGGGTTGAGGCCCTGCCCCTTCATAGTGGTTTGGCTTCTCATAGGTTCCCCAGGGGTGCGGGACCACATTTTATGTTGGTTTCTTAGCTCCAGATTCTAAGTTACTGGGGGCGAGAGCAGAACTATGGCTGCCAATCCTCAGAGAAGCCCCGTAGACTCAGAGAGAGGTGGGAGGCCTTACTGTACCTCTGCCCGGTGGGCGAGTTTTTTGTCCAGTCTCTCTTCTCTGACGAGGAGGCCCCTGGAGGGTCCTGGCCTTTTATACATACATACACACACAACTTTTTTTTTCTTATTAAAATACATATAATATAAAACTTACCTCCTTAACCATCTTTTAAAAGATTTTGTTTATTTATTTTCTACTCTAGAAAAGGGAAAGGGAAGGAGAAAGAAAGGGAGAGGAGCATTGATGTGCGAGAGAAAGTTGCCTCTTGCATATCCTCCAATGGGGAACTTGGCCTGCAACCCAGGCCTTGCTCTGACCGGGAATTGAACCAGTGACCCTTCAGTTCACAGGCCGGCGCTCAACCCACTGACTGCCCCACCCAGGGCCCACCTTAACCATTTGAACTGTAAAGGTCAGCGGCATTATGTCCATTCACTTTATTGTACAGTCATCACCACCATCCACCTCCAGAACTTTCTCATCTTCCCAAACTGAAACTCTGCCCCCATTAAACACTAGCCCCCATTGCCCTCCTCCAGCCCCTGGCCTCCAGCAGCTACTTCCTGTCTCTCTGCATCTGACTCCTCTGGGGACCTTGTGGAAGTGGAGTCACAGGCTTTGTCCTTCTGTGTCTGGCTTGTTTCACCGAGCGTGACCTCCTCGAGGTTCTTCCACGCTGCAGCGGGTGTCGGAACTCTCGGTTAACAGCCGAATGACAGTAGTTCACTGCGGTCACACTGCGCTTATCCGCTCATCTCCCGACGCGTGTTGGGGTGGTTTTCACTTTTTGGTGGTTGTGACTAATGCTGCTCTGAACACGGGTGTGCAAATATTACGTCTTCAAGACCCTGCTTTCAGCTATTTTAGGTGCAGACCAGACGTGGCATTGCTGGGTCCTGTGTCCAGTCTGTGTTGCACCTTTCCAGGGCACTTCGTCCTGCTCTTCTCGGCGGCTGCCCCATTCAGTCCAGCCGTGCATCCGGGTTCACATCACTCCACCTGGTCTAAGCCCCATTTTAATCTGTGATTTCAAATTACAAAAGCAACAACTTACTAGAAAAATCTAAAAATGCCAAAAAAAAAAAGAAGCAGCAGAAATCCCATTTTTGTCTAAAACGCCACCACTGATTTCAACCAGGGCTTTTCGGCAAAGCAGGCTTTATCCTGAAGCTCTGCAGGCCAGGCTGGTCCTTGCAGACATGGGCAGTGGGCAGCATCTCCTCTCTCCTGGACAGGGCCACGGGGTCAGCAGCCTTCGGACCTGCGTCTGTTGCTGGCATCTTACAGGAGAGAAAATAGAACAAGCGGAGGCAAGGTAGCATGTTGCCAAATAGCATCAGCACGTAGGAGTGCCCCTTACGAGTCCTGTAAACGCGGGGAGATTATTTTTAATGTCTGCATCACTGGCTCACACAAGCCGGCTGAATGCGAAATGCTTGTTTTTGAGTCGAATGTTCTGGGCAAGAATGTTCCGCTGTGTTCTCTAAGTGAGGTCGAGTTGCTAGGTTACCAGGAGCATCAGGAATCCAGGGAACAATGTACAATTGTGTTCAACTTTGAAAAATAAAATAGGTATTGACATTTTAAAAGGATAAGAATAGTAATGGGCTGTGGTTCACAAGTTCTGAATCCTCATTGCAATTCTGCCATTTCCATTACTTACGTGGATGGATAACCATTTGCAAGCCTCAGTTTCTTCATCCATAAAAATATATGAAAATGATTATATGCTTGATGAATTTGAAAATTGACCTCCTTCTCTCCCTTACATGTTATGTTTTTCCATAGCACCTCTATTTTTTTTATGATACTTTTAAAAACCAATATGCTCAAAAACCCCATTTGGATTAAGGGCCCAACCTCTGATACTGTTGTTACCTATCATTTATTTTCTAACAGCGTTATTGAGAAAATTTATTTACTATAAACTTCACCATTTTAAGTATAAAATTCCATGGTTTTTAGCATATTTACAGAGTTTATAACCATCCACCACTACCTAAACAGTTCCAGAACATTCTCATCATCCCATTCCCAGTAGCAGTCGCTCCCCAGCTCATCTCCATTCCTCTCCTCAGCCCCTGACAACCACCCATTCACTTCCTGTCTCTGGACTTGCCTGTCCTGGACGTGTCCCATACATGGAGTCACACACTGTGTGGCCTTCTGTGTCTGGCACCTCTCACTGGGCATGGTGTTTTCAGGGTTCCTCAGCGTTGCAGTGCGTTCACTGTGGTCACAGACATCACACGGCCCTCCGTGCCCAGGGTCCAGGGGCACCGGGTCCGTGTTTCATCGTCCTTACTGAGCCCGTGGCCTGGACATGAGTAGGGGACCGGACTGAAGCGGCAGAGGCAGGGGCAGTGTGGGGAGGCCAAGAGGAAAGTGGGAGGCTTTGAGGAGCAGCAGCCCCCGGGGACAGCCCAGCACCCCACACTCCTGAGCAGCCAGGGAGAAAGGTAGTGCCGGGTAGCCAAGCAGGAGAGCCCGCAGGGAATGACGACCAGCCGGAGGAGCTTGTGGGGTGACCCAGTGTCCCGGTTTGCAGGGCTGAGGGTTCCCAGGATATAAGACTCAGAGTGCTGAAACCAGGACGAGTTGGTTGCCCAAAGTTCGGGTTCCCAAGAAGCAGCCAAGAATAGATACGTCAGCAGGCAGCTAGGAATGAAGGTCAGAGGAGGCTGGAGAAGAAATATGGCCCCTGACGAGACAGTGTTCCCACAGGGCTGGTGTCCAGCTCCAGCTGCCCTCTGACCCCACACTGTTCCCTTTGACTGCCCTCGTCAGCTATTGACTTTTTTGAAAAAGGCAAAAACCCTCATGACGTGTTTAAAGAGGTCTGTTTACTACCTGTCCCTCTGCAGACAGCCCGTCAGGGACTTATCTTAGTGTAATCTTTCATGTGCTGCCCTTTGGTTGTCCTCCGGAGAGCTAATTAGGATGCAAAGGCCAGCTGCAGTTCCCCAGGACTCCCGTCATACCCTCCGGCCCCCTCCCACACCTGCTCCGAGCTTAGGAAAGAGCTGGGACTGCAGAGGCCTCTAGTTTTCTAAGCAGCCTGTTGAGCTTTGCGCCACTGATGTGCAGTGCCTGCTGGGGGCGTTTTATACCACATCGTATCATCCGCAAGTAGGGCAGGTTCTGCTCCTTCCTCTTGGTCTGGACATCTTGGATTTCGTCTTCCTGCCCCACCGCCACGACTGGAATGTCCAGGACAACGTTGCATGGAAGTGGCAAGAATGGCTGCTCTGACCCTGCCTGGTGTAGCTCAGTGGATTGAGTCTAGGCTGCGGACCAAAGGGGCCACTGGTTCGATTCCCAGTCAGGGCACACACCTGGGTTGCAGGCCCGGTCCCCAGTGGGAGCCACGTGAGAGGCAACCACACATTGATGTTTTTCTCCCTCCCTTCCCCTCTCTCTGAAGATAAATAAATAAAATCTTGAAAACATAAATAAAAGAATGGGTGCCCTGGTCTTGTCCCTGGTCTCAGGGGAAAGGCGTTCAGTCTTTCACCATTGACTGTGATCGTGGCTTCAGGGTGTCCCTCGAGGTGCTTGATCAGGGGGCGGAAGTTCCCTTCCAGTCCTCTCTGCCGAGTTGTTTCTGTCCCAGGGGAGTGTAGACATTTGTCAACCTCCAGATGCATTTATGGAGATATTCACACGGACTTTGTCCTTTTTTTCTGTTGACATGGTACATTACGTCGACCAGCTTTCGGACGTCAGGCTAACTTTTTATTCCTTGAATAAATCCCCTGTGGCCGTGGTGTGGAAGCTTCTTTACATATTGCTGGATTCAGTTTGCTGATACTTTGATGAGGGCCGTAGGTGTTGGATCAGTGTACTGGGGATCGATTCGTGATGAAGAGGAGGGTGTGGCTGGAAGGCATAGCATGGGGAAGTCTCCGAACTGTCCCGTGCCTGACATCGGTGGTGGGGGCATGAAGCTACACGTCCCCTGAAGTTGCAGGGGTCTCCACACGCCCGCACACAAATGCGTGCGTGTCAAACCAGGGATGCCACCTGAACGAGCTCCGTGGGTTGTATCCATGTCAGTTTCCTTGTTGTAATGAATCGGATGTTTGTGTCCCCCCGAAACTTACATGTCGAAGCTCTAACCCCCAGTGGGATGGTATTAGGAGGTGGGGCTTTGGGGAGGTGATCGGGGTTAGACGAGGTTGTGAGGACGGGTGCCTGGGATGGGATTGGTG